TCACCTTTAAAGCCCTACATGGCATGGGACCAGGTTACCTAAGGGACTGCCTCTTCCCCATAACTTCAACCCGTCCCACCCGATCACACAGAGGGGACATGCTCCGGACCCCCTCAGCAAAAGAGCTCCGACCAGCAGGGTCCAGAAGGTGGGCTTTCTCCGCTGTAGCCCCCGCCCTTTGGAACATCTTGCCCCCGGAGGCGAGATTGGCCCCCTCACTCCTGGCCTTTTGGAAGGATCTGAAGACCTGGCTCTGCCATCTGGCCCGGGGCGGGGAGGCGGATCATCAAATGTGGGGTTGGCTAGTCCCTTAGTGGCCTGGCGTTGCTGCCTTGAACCATTGGCCTCCTGGATTTTTTCCCTTTTATTTTTGTGAATGTGTATTGTTATAGGTTTTAATTGTATATTTATTTGTTTTAACGAGTTGTGAGCTGCCCAGAGTCCCCCATTGGGGGGAGATGGGCGGGGGACTAAACAAACAAACAAACAAACAAACAAATATTCTATGTGATGAGAACCCTGCCAATTGTAGATTATGGAAAAAATTCTAAATAGACAATGTTTTAGCATGTTGCATGAACTCAGCTTCTCCCACTTTGACATACGTGCTCACAATGTTCCCCAACACATTTAACCAGGTAAACTGGAGTCCTAAGGGTGTACATTTAAAATACTTTAAGCTCAGTATTAAATTTGTAGGTGAGGGTTGTGGGTAACCCAGCATCTTGTGTAAACCTAGACTGTTTGGTTGCTTGATGATTCATTGCACTTTGTGAACTAGAACTTGGGTGAACTCAGTAATCAAGTGAGCTGGATGAAGATTGTTTCCTCCCTTCCCCTTCTGTTGAGAGTCTGCCAGGCTAGCTAAGCTGTTCTCTAGGTGGGTTATTTTATCTTTAACCATCATTGACTGAGCTCGTTCCCCATCCCCTTTGGTAGAATCATGGACCATAACAGTTCGAGGGCACCCTGGAGAAACACCCTGCCAGTGCAGCAACAACTACCACCACCTCTTTGGCTTCTTACCCCTAGGAAACCCTTCCTGATCTCCGACCAAAGTCTGCCTTCCTGTAATTTAAGGCCACTGTTCCTTTTCCTCTCTTCTGAAAAATTCTGCCCCATTTTCTACATGGCAGCCTTCTTTCTCTTTTCCTTTCTTTTCTCTCCTCTCCCCTCCTCTCCCTTCTCCTCCAGGCTAGAACACCACTGCCCCTGAGCTTCCTCAGGAGCTTTTCTTACAGGCCCCGTAGTCGTTCTCCTCCATACGTGCTTTGGCCTGTCAATGCCCTTCCTAAAATGAGCTTCACCGAACTGGGTACAACATTCTAAGTGCAGCCTGGCTGACGCAGAAGAGAGGAATGACGTTATCTCTTGAGCTTGGCACTATCCTTCCATTGATGAAAGTTAGGATCGCATTTGCTTTTTTTTTGCAGCTGCTTTATTCTGTTGGCTCACGTTCAACTTCTGAGCCACCAAGACAGGCAGATCCTTTTCTATGCCCTGCTGCCAGGATGGTCTCCAAAGCCTTTATTTGTACCAGATTTTTCCTACTACCTTTTTAGCATCCATAGATTTGTTGATCGTGTTTTATAATCCCTCACCCAAGTGGAAGGAATAAGTACTGGAACAATATTTAGTGCGGAACAAATCATGCAAATTATTTTTAGAAGCCAGTTGCTTAATCACTAAAGGGTATGATAAAAATGTTTCAAATCAAGAAATGTAATTT